TTCACTCACTACCGTCGTGTATGTGGGCTCATGCATTGCAATACTCTTTATCATAATATATTTCCTCTCTTTATCTCCTTTTATTATATTCCCCTTTCACCACTCGCTTTCCTTCACCACCTTCTCTTCCTCAATCACCTATCCACTCACACCAGGAATGATTCTCTACCTCCCTCTGGCAGCTCTCACCTCTCTCTCCCATTCCTTAGCATCCACTTTCCTAGTCATCTCTCACGTCTACCATTTCCCCAGCTATACCTCTTCATGCCACCCTCTTCCCTCCCTCCTTTCAGTCAACTTTCCCTTCCCACTCTCTCTCAACCATCCCTTCTCTTTTCACTCTCCCTCAATTTTCCCATCTCTCCACTCTCAACTTTTTTCCTTTTCCTTGTTTCTCCACGCTCTTAATCTCTCTCCACATGTTTATTTCCACATAGTCTTTTATTATCTCCAGCTCTCCATTCTCCACTAGTCTCTCAACCTGTCTCACACTCTTCCTTTATTTCTCCTTATATTCTCCTCCCTCTACCACCCTCCTCTCTTCCCTACCACCCCCCCTCCTATCCATCACCCACCTCTCCTCCTTCCTACCCTTCCCCCTTCCCTACCACCCTCCTCCTCCGCCTTCCCACATTCTCTTCCTCTTTTTTTTATACTCCCCCTCCCTCAATCCCTCACTCTTCTCCTCTTCCCCCACTCATCCTCCCTCCCTTCTTCCCCCCTACCCTCATCCCCCCTCCTCCTTCCCCACCCTCACCCTCCCCTCCTCCCTCACTCTCACCCTCGCTCGAGTGACGTCGGTGGGACTTCCTTTAAAAGATTTATTATTCATGACGTTTATAGGGAGTTTGGCGAGAAGCTGCAGACCTGGCCGCTCTCCCAGGGCTGTTCAGACCCGGGAAGGTGGAGGGAGGGGGGGGTAGAATAAGAGATGGGGAGAGTAGAAGGAGATGAAAAGGGGGAATGGGATAGGGAAGATAGAGAGGAAAAAGAGAGAGACAGTCGAATGGATGGTGGGAAGAGAGAGAATGGGGGAGAGTACAAAGAAAAGGGAATGGAGGGAGGGAGGGAGGGAGGGGGGGAGGGAGGGGAGTGACAAAATCTTAGAGTTGCATCATGAAACTGCTGAACAAAACAGAAAAAAAAAACAATTTACGCATTAGGACTGAAACCCATTTTTTATTTAGTTCCAATAGCATTAAGGTTGGCCCTCATTAAGATTGAGTCCCACCTTTCAGTATTATGTCTCCTATTGTATAAGGTGGGAGGGGTGATTCTATTTTGTAGTTCGTTTTTTTAAGGAAACTATTAGGAATTTATCGTCTCTTCTTGGGTAGTATTTAAGACCACAGTGCTATAGGCCTCACATTAATATATAAACGTGAGATTTGGGCAGTTTGGTTATATTAAAGGAGCTATAAGACACAAAATGCCTAATCTGAGGTCTTGTTAAATGTTATGCCATAATTCAACCTGTGTATATGAAACTTGGTACAATGATTCCTTGTTACAGACCATATGTTTTTTTTTTTACCACTACTAACAGTCAAAGATGACACAAATGCACAATCTCAACTTCTGACCCATTTTCTGTTATATTTGTAACAATCTACCTGTGACTCAACGTAAAGATACCTTGTTACAGCTTCCTAATAACAGTGTATATATAACTTAGGATTTTCTCTCGTCTCTTTTTTTTTTACCATTTGGTCGGAGTTTAAGATCATCAGTAAGTCTTGTGGGAATGAATGGGAGAGGCTTGTTGAATTAGCTTGTAAATACTGTTTTGTTTCTTCACCATTGCCTTTTGGAGGAATTTATAGGGCTTAAAGATTGAGGGACAACTTGTAAGATAAAAAAGAAAAAAATAAGATCTAGGGCCAAGAAGTTGAAAGGTGAACTTGTTGTAGTTAAGACAATGTGGCATCAACATGTTGTGGGGAGCAAAATGTGTTGTAGGTTGAAGAAGTTATGCAGTTAACTTGTTCAAGGGCTAACATATGGTGGGGGATTAAGAAGTGAATGAAGCAACACGTGTTTTATATAGGGTCAGTTTAATATGTGTTGTGGTCACTCTAGTGGAGCCATCCTGTAGTGGAGCCAACCAATAATCTAATATTTCTCACAGTACAAAGAAAAAAATCTTGAAATATTTTTTTTCACATTATATTGTCGAATACATTGTACTTTTTAGTATACCTTTATGATATGATATGAATTTACGTCACCATTACACTGTTGTTTACATTCTTGTGTGTGGTTTGTGACGTCAGGAATGAGATGGGTGCTCCTGAGCTCTCCTCATTTACTACGTATGGGTAAACATTATGTGACACGCAGCAAGGAAGAGGGGCATGACATTGAGAACATGACACTACTAAAGATATAACATTGCCATCATGATACTATACATGAGGGAGTGTATTATAAAAAATCGCTTCTTATATTTTACGAAAAAACAAAATCAAGAGGCTAACAATACAGTCAGAAGGTGTGCTCGGTGTTTCAATTTTTTTCGTGTTTCATTCCTTTCTTTTCAAATATTAAGATAGCGTGATTCTTTTTTTTACGTTACTTCATAAAGTTTAATCATAACATTTATTTTGATAATTTAAATAATTTTAGTAACGCATGAACTGGTCAGCCAATACACTATTCTTATTGACTATATAATGTCGTCATAACACAGCTAGGCTCATCTCTCCTTTTGTGAGGTGCAGTGGAGTGTTGGCCTACTCTGCTACCTCTTGGGTAATCAAGAAGTATTCTTCCAACTTCTTTGTTTTCTTTCCTGTTCATTATTTGCCTTTCAACATTCAAGATCTTGAGGCGAGGACACCCAGCTGCTTGGTTTCTCAGCTCAGCATTTTATGTGTGTGTTTTCAAGCATACCTTTGTTTTCCTGAGAGTGCTGTAGGTTCTTTTCAGCAGCACAAAGATTCTGTAAGCTGTGTCATAGCTCTCCGTCTGCTCTGACTTGTGACCCTGTTTGTAGAGCTTGATTGGATAGAGTCGCTCTGACAAGAGCTTAGTCTGGTCTGCCACGATTCGGGTTCATGTGTTCAGGATGAAAATTCTGCAGCCAAATACAGTTCATATTGTCTACCTTACTCTTGTACACTGAAAGACTTTAGATATGAGGTTCCTACGGTCCCTCCACCTCGCGTATGCATTCCTTGTTTCATAATCCTTTTTATGGGTGTGTGACAACTACGGGCGGTCGATCCATCTGTACTAGTGAAAAGTATAGTGAGTGTTTGGTTTGTGTTTTGCGGTGTGTTTCAGGGGGCGTCCAGGAAAAAAAATAAGAAAACCGTAAGCAGATCAGGCAGAACAACCCAGGTTTTGTATTTGTCTGTGGACTACGCTGTGTGTAGTTCAGGAGGGGGATTAGAACATGTCTATAAGAAGCCTATCGAAGGATGCTGAGAAGTCTGCGACAACACACTGAAAGTTGTATCTAGTATGTTTCATAATGAGATGGCGAGCAGGCTTGATCTATTTACTACCTGCCTCATGAGTGTGACTGTTGAAGGAACCTACTCAAGGCTGTTGATGACTTTCATCAATAGTCGGCGCAAAACAGATGTTATGCGAGGCCTCTCCCTGACCAAGAACACTTTGGTCTCGGGAGCCAACGATTTCGATCAATCCCTTCACTGTAGAAACTTTTAGATGTTTTATCCCATAAAAGATTTGATGGCTTGATTGTCGATGATATTTTGTGCTATAGTGTCGGGATTAAGTTGATGGAATCCTCTGCTTGAAGAAATCCCCGAGGTTTAAAGAATTCATTAAACATGCTGGGAGCCTTGTTACGTTCCGAAACAAATCACAGAGACGCCCCAAACCAGAGTTCCTTAAGTTCCCTACGGCAACGGGAAGCGAAGTGGTTGTGTTGTGAAAATCTAATAATAACTTGTACATCCATTGACTAATTAAAGCAGCTTAAGTCAAGGAGTGCACTACACCACCGGCAGTTTTCTAATCGCTCAGATGTGACAATAAAGAATTGATTAGGAATAAGATAAACTAACTCTCATGCTTAGGGCTCTGCCACACAATGTTAGAAGGTATATTTAAATTCTCGTGGAAAATATTTTATTTATCTTGTTAGTGTTGCATGCGTAACCGTGATTTATCATAAGTGTTCTTTTTGAACCCTAAATTATTGTATAAGTTATCTTGTATTATTCGTAATTACAATGATGACGTATTTGCAATCCTGAATTACCATTATAGTTTCTATAGTCTGAAATCCTCCCGTGATATCGACGTTACGAAACACGAAATTCACTGTTAATCTTATTTATCTTCAAATATCTTAATGAAGGGGGCATTGCATGTCTATTAACAAAATTATCGTGACCCCCTCTCGCTTTTTTGTAGGGTGGATCAAAGACAACCTCAAAGAAAGGGGAGAAATGATAGAGGAGAGTGGCGCAAGGTGAGACAAGTGTAGAAAGTGACGGGAAAAGGCCGAGAGACAACAAGTAGAAACATTCACATATAGTTTTGCTCATGTCTTCGCCTTCCATGCACAATGTACAGGGTTTATACTGAGCATCCACAGATGATCCTCAACGCTTTAAATTGGTTCAGTGTGAGTTTACAGTGTATCCTGAGCCTCTACACTGTATCTCAAAGATTTATGCCCCCAGTTCATTACCTGTGTCCCGGTCACGTGTCTTATGGGTCTCCTAGCATCCTATATGTATGAGGGTTGTAGCACCAATAAATTCTCGCTTATGTCTGAAAACCGTAAATAATTTTCCGTTTTATCCCAATAAGATAATTTTTTTCGCCTTTATACGTTGATACCTGTCTCTTTTACAATATTATTATTATTATTATTATTATTATTATTATTATTATTATTATTAGACCTTGTATGCTTTATTGGAAACACATCTCATTGTCGCTTACCTTGTTCTTGTCCGGAGCGTCTCTACAGTATACAACAATTACAACACAAGCAGTGAGGGAAAAAGAAACACACATAATCGTAAAAACTTTATTGATGTTACTACGATATACATATAATTTTACATATACCAGTTTTCAAGAGAGAGAGAGAGAGAGAGAGAGAGAGTTTTGTAATATATTTTGTGAGTGAAAATTGAGTAAATATTGGAGAGTGATGATTCTCAAAAGTATAAGTAGTAGTCAGTCAATAAGGATTAATTTATCGTTAATATGAGGAGGAAAAACAACCTTACAGAAGCACTACAATTGATCTGGAAAAAATTGGAAACTGAATAATGTTGAGGGTGGAATAACAGTCTTGGGAAATACTTTTGGCGTCAGTAAATTCACAAAGTCACTCTTCATTTGCCATGTTATAGCTGCTGCGTATTTTTTGGCAACATCGCTAAGAAAATCTAATACTTGCGACCATCTAGAAATCCAATCAGCTCTATATCTAGAAACACCTGTCAACTGTGTAGATCCTAGGAAACACCAGCTGTGCTCTTAGAAATAACAGCTGTGCTCTCAGAAACATCAGCTGTGCTCTAAGAAACACCAGCTGTGCTCCTCGGTGATCTACCATTTCGACGACTCACCAGCGCTTGTGAGATATACCAACTGAATGTCTTTAGAGAGAAAGAAGCAGTACCTATATTTCTATAGCTGACTGACTAACTGCATGACCCTAGAGATCTTCTTCCCTGACGGAGATATACTGAAGAGTATTCCCCTAGAGTGACTGAAGCAGGAGAATGAAAACAAAGGATAAACGCAATTGAGGGAAAACGCAGAGCTGTGAAGAGAGTTAGAGCGTCAGATGGGGAGAGGGAACTCGAGACAGTTTGGCTTGACTTGCCAGACTGGTTTTCCCAAGAAGTTTAATTGCGTGTTGTGTTGATATGTTGATTTACTGGGAGGATCTTTTGTGAGAGTCAGTGAGGATCGTTCATGTGTCACCCTCGTAGTTTATTGGTATTGTGGGCCTCTATGGCATCATGGTGTATATCCATCGTTAATTTTGCGGACCTGTTGTGCTTGAATGTGTGTGTGGGATGGCACTTTGGCTTTTTCATGAAGTTTTAGTGTGTGTGTGTGTGTGTGTGTGTGTGTGTGTGTGTGTGTGTCAACTTGATACTGGACTTCAGACCCAAGTGCTTGTGTTTCAGTTGTTCTTTATCGCTCCCTCCCGCCCTCTGTATCGACTCTTGTCTCTTAAGCGCGAGAGGAAGAACACAGCTTGGGGTGTGATGGAGGTAAAGTATGTGTAGCAGCCAACAGAGGAACACAGGGCGCCCTCATGTAGGCAGACAGGAAGGCTGGCAAGGTAAACAAACGCGGTGATATTTGTTCTGCTAGACGCATGCGGGAATTTTATAATTGCACTGCTCTGAATTTCCTGAATGTGAATAAACTTTAAAAATCTATTCCCTTTGTTTGATAGTAAATTCAGCTAATCAACAAGACCTGAATATAATACTATGTTGTGATTAGAAATTTATTTATATCTATAGTAATTTTGTAACATTTCGATCATTTTTAATAAACATTTCACAAGAGATAGAGAACAACAACGAACGTAAGTGTGAGAGTTTACTAACATGATCAACGATGGTTATGTATGAAATAAATTACATGTATCACTTATATCTAAGAAAAAAAAATAGTTGCGTCAGTGCTTCGAAAAGTCGTATTTGATTATCATGAATGTCATAAAAGGCAAAAATAATGGCATTTAAGATGAGCTAATCATCCTCAAATAAACTTTTGGAAAGCTGGGGATGAACAGGCTGTTCCTGCCCTCCGACGACTCCAACGTGGTGCGTGGACTCAGCGGGCACTCGCGGACTGGTAGTGGTAATCCACACACACATACGTCTAGTCGTGACAGATATGTGATGTTAGTTATATATTGCCCTTAAGAGACATCATGTTTTACCACTGTCTGGGCCCGCCTCAGCCCGCTGATCTGTGTTTCGGTTCATTTCTTGGGATTGCCCGGGATGGCCGAGGTGATGTTGAGGGTCGGGGTCACGGCTAGACACACTTCATCACACTCCCGCGCGGTAGGGAACCACTTGGTCAGGTGACACACATTCAAATGTTCTTAACAATAGAGACACAGTGAAGCCTCAATATCTGGCTCTTTCATTTTCAACTGTACTTTGATCATTGTCATACACGAGACAACTTTTTCTCTCTACATCACTGGTCACTGAGATACTTCCATCAACCTTCCCATTAAGGATGCTTTTCTTTGATCATGGTGCAGTGACTACACCGACAACTGGACATACTTCTGTTTGACCACGTGACATTATCCCTTGGTTTCTATTGGCTTTCCACGACGTCGGAGGGCTACGTGCAACGGTACTGGTATTCCTTAACCCAGGGAACATTCCAAAAAGCTTCACATTCTGACTGAAGTAGAACGGAAAACCTTCACGGAGTGCTTACCAGGAGCAGGAAGCAGCAGCGCACGTCATGTATGCGGCAGTGATCGGGTCTAAATTGAGATAAAAGGCTGAAAATCGAAGGGTTTCTCTTGCTCTAGGCGGCTATCTAGGGCGCTTCTCCAGTCTTATGAGTATTCAGTAAGGCCTTTACTCTTTATGTCATATAGTGGCTTAATGAGACTTACCGAAGAGCCTTGAAATTGGAGAATGACCCTAGGGACTTTAAGCACCAATAGCATAACAGCAAGGTCTACTGGAGGGTCATACACTACACCACAAACAAAATTTATGAATAATTGTGAAGAAAATCTACTAATTATATTGTAATATATTGAATAGAACTATATACTCCGAGACGCTACAAATACTGCTGTATATATACACATGCAAGACACGTATCATTACAAGTACTTCCGTAAAACGAAGCACTTCTCAGCAGAGAATAGAAGGTATTTAGTATTTCCCATATGTACAATAAACACGAGAAGGTTTACATAGCCTTGTTTATGTGTGTGTGTGTGTGTGTGTGTGTGTGTGTGTGTGTGTGTGTGTGTGTGTGTGTGTGTGTGTGTGTGTGTGTGTTAGCAGAAGAATAAAATCTACCCTTTGACTTATTAGGAGTCACATCCCTCGTATTGTCTTCACTAGAATTGACCAATTAGAACGCACAGCAAACCACCCCGCGAGTTCTGATTGGCTACATTATAACAGGTTCTGTCTCAGTATGCTCAGCTAAGCAGGTCCAAAAGACACATTTGGATAACATTTAGTCTAGTCGGTTTTCAGCACTCGTAAAATACCGTATTCACTATATATCATTTGATTTTTTGTTTGATCTACAATGTTTTTGAACCTGCCCGAATTATTACACAAAAAGAGATAATCAATGCGACTAAACGCCTTGCTAATGTTTGTACATAGTTTAACACCCACAAGCATACGAACGATCAGAGGCAGTCGGCAACAGTATACCATAGACATTTGACATTAGAGATATCCTTAAGTTAATAATATTTTGTAAAGCTATCTAGAAAGGACGAAACAAAGAGGAAACTCTCAAGAATGTACATATGAACTAACAAGAAAAACGTGATTTTAGTGTAGGAGGGGAGCCCGTGGGAAGGAGGCACCAGGCAGTCAAACAAGCGGGTGAGGGACTCAGGCTAGGTCCCTTATGTTCATACCCTGATGCAAGCGACGGCTCTTATCCATCATAGAATTTCTTAATAAGCCTTCAAAATAAAAGGGAAGTCGCATGAAATATAGCTATATACTAGCCTTAACGCTATAGTGGGTGGGGTTGGATTATAAACTATCTATGGTTACAGTGAGCTACCATTGACGTCATCTCGACGGGCTCCGCATGTCACTTATACTAAAATCAAACATCAAAATCGTCCTCGGTATCAACCAAGAGCTATCATTATATCTTCTCTCTTATGTGACAGTGATTATCTGAGATTATGAAGAATATATGAGGAATAAAACGACTATACGAGCTCTGTCATATGATCGTTTTATCAGGCAAAGAGGTTAGACAGTATGATTATTATAATCCACTTAAGACAAGAGTTAACAACGGGTGTGTTTCTTGTGCAATTTACGCCAACATCTGAGTCAAGTCGATTTAACTAGTATATAGCGGAGAAAAAAAATTCATATTAGTGAATATTAAAACTACCATTAGCATCAGATCCAGGAGTCATGGAGATATATGATATTTTAAGATAGGAATGAAGACCGAGAGTCACACTTTAGGAACCATTGGCGAATTTGTGACTATTTCCCGCCAAAACGGCTACTTTTTGATCCCCCTTGCCACATCTTTTACGCCACAGACACTGGAATACATAGCTATTTTGACGGGATATAGTATCAGATGTATGTAACCTGGTTAGAGTGATGTTATCTGCTATCTTTAATCTCCTATCATAAATCTCACATACAACCAGTGTCTCTCCTCTGATTGGAATCTCTGTAGTTACCAGACGGAGTTAGGGATGCTAGTGGTAGTCCATATTTTTACCAACCAAAACATGAGGACCACGGGACACCTGATGAAACCAAGCACACTGTATGGGAAATTCTAGAACTACTGGAGAGATATGTATGAGTTGTCTGAGTCAGGGTGTCATCTCTAAAGAGGAGTAGATTAGGGCGTGCACGCATCTTACGGGCTATAACTCTGCGTAGCGTCCAGAAAGAGACATTTTGCTGAATGCCTCAAGAAAGTGGTAGAATTCCACCCCATTCCTACAGCAGGCGTAGGGTACATGACTTCTTGGTAATGAGTGAGTCCTCGCTATACCACGTCCAAGCTATTGGCGAGGCTTTACTAAAGAACCAAAATACGAGGTCTAACAATGCGAATACTTAGTTAAGATGCAAGGTGTTAATAAGGCTCACCTTCCGCTAATTAACTAGCAAGAAGAAAGCCTTATTGACGACCTTAAGACTGCTGGCTTGACTGTCCCTGGACAAGGCGAGCGGTCTAGGCAGCGGAGTGTCCTTGCCTTCCACACTTGTCTCCCTCCCTCGCCACCCAACGTCACACAACAGGACAACTCCACCTTAGTCTAGCCACTTCATCCTTACTATACATATAGGCTATCTTAGACGATTATAATGTAGCAAGTGCCAGCTTTGATCCTGAGACGCTCCCATACAACATACCCTGAGGGACCTTCCCTTTCCTACACTCTGTGGGATCTCCCGTTATCTCTGCCCTGAGTCCCAAGTATCACTCCATGTTTAATCCCCCTCCTTGGAGCCCTTAGAGGTAATATATCCTTGGCTGTCTGTCCGTTTCCTAGGTTATGGAACTCTTTCTTTAACTGCAACGTTAACAGCACAATGTTTTGCAGTCTGAAACGGAGATGATTTTTCCACAACTTTCAGTTAGACCAATCTTTTTGTCCTCTGTAACCACTGTCAGCTCAAACTGTACTCGACACTTTAGCACTGCTACAGAATCTGTGTATAAACTGCTTTAGCGCGGCAGATTCTGGCTAAATAGCACTCATCTAGCGGGACGACGCGACGACTCGTCCCGTAAACATACTAAGCGGCAGCAAACAGCAACTTGTCGTCGTCTTCAACATACTTAAAGCGGCGTCAAACAGCAACTTGTCGTCGTCTTCAACATACTTAAAGCGGCGTCAAACAGCAACTTGTCGTCGTCTTCAACATACTTAAAGCGGCGTCAAACAGCAACTTGTCGTCGTCTTCAACATACTTAAAGCGGCGTCAAACAGCAACTTATCGTCGTCTTCAGTTTTGAACAGCCTCTGTCCTCAACGGCGGCTGTTACAAGTAGAGGCGTTTGTGTGTTGTAAGGTGAGGCAGGCGTGACTCTCCTCACGGGCGGGTCATGGAGGAGTAGACCAAGAGGACGGGTGTCACCAGGGCCGTGCCCATGCCCACGTCTCTCACGCCCACGCCGCTGGTACTACTCGGGCACTGCTCCGGGGCCTTGTCCTTCTTGTCGGCTGCAACAAAGGAACAGGTTATAACTGCGACAATGACATTAAGGGAGAGTAGGGGTAAATTGTAGGGTGTAGAGGACTGACTCACTAAATTGATAATATACGGTAAATTAATACATGCTTGGATGCGAAGCTTACGACCCAGAAGAGGGCTGCCGGCTACCCCAGTAACTTGTGAGTCGCTGTTAGGTATGTGACCTAAGGGTGACTGGTTTATGATATGAGGTCAGGTCAGGTGCAAAAGAAGCATGATAGAGACAGTTGGCACAATGATAGTCAGGTTACTTAGATGGACGATGAGGGGGTAAACTTTATTTTAGAAAAAGTAAGAGGGATTTGTGGAAGAAAGTTGAGGGCATAAAGCATGCGGCACTGGGGACATCTGGTTCTGTGAGGCTGATAAAGGCAACGAGAGTGACCTTCTGGTCTCGTACATTCTGTCCCTCCATTCGTGTTACTGTACATAAAAGTGAGGCATTATCCTCAACTGCGTAGAAAATTGACAAACTGAAGATGAATTGAGAGATTGGTTTAATGAAACAGGCACGACGATATTTTATCTAAGCGAGGTCAGACATCCCATCTTTAACATAATTATTTTTGTTTTAGGGGTCGTGAATTTTGAGGCTACCAATGTACTGTATCTTGGCAAACACTTATGGTCACTTATCACAGGCAATTCTAACACTCACAACTCTTGATGATTATCAAATAACTGTACTTAGGATGTTTAGATATATTTATTGATAATAACTAAATCAGTGGCGCCAATACCTACAGTTACTGTGAATGATCGGTGTCAGGAGAGCGAGGGGGAGAGGCACTTGAATTCACGCCGTAGGTTTTTAGTGTTGGTCGTTGTAGTAATCACACAACTACCTCAACGTTATTTACAGTATATATATCTTACGGACAACAAATCCCTCAATTCCAGGTGCATCTCTCTATTAGAAAACCAACATAAACGTTGAGGTTATTCTAACATATATCTTAGTTTCCTCATTTAAAGAGTATAAAGAAGACACTTCCTTGAAGCATCCTATAAAAGGTTTTAGGTGTTAAAGAGTAACAAGAGGAGAAACGGTCATGGTTGATCGATCTGTTGACGGTGTTGGTGCAGACGATGATCCTCCAGCCACACTAACACCACATCTGGTTATTATATCATGGGAGTTTTGAACTATTGTCGGAGTAGTGTGTGTGTGTGCGCGCAGACGTATGCTCTTGTTTGTTTACTTGTATATGTGTGTGTGTGTGTGTGTGAGCTTGTGCATATATAAACATGTGTGAAATTTTGTAAGCTCGTGTTTCTTTGTGTACATGTGTTTATGAACATATAAATGTAAACAAATGTTTTTCTCAAAGGTGGGCCAACATTCATGAACCTTGACTGGTGATCTGGTTGATGGACCAAAGGCAAGATGACAATAACACTGATGAACGACAGTCGAGGTTATTTAATGAATATAAAGAAGGCACGGGGTTACTTCCTTAATTACAGTGTGATGTTGACAGCTGACACACTCGCTAATTATCACTCGGGTTTTGTTGGGTTACATTTTTATTATCATTTTCCTTTGTTGTGTACCTAATCCATTGTGCCTACATTTGCTGTTGTGTTTTTTTATTATTATCTGGTTGTCTTTAGTTTGTTTTTATTGTGTTTGATTTAGATAAGTTTGGTCTTATAGTACCTGATATTATTGTATTTTGTTTACTCTATTTTAATGTCTTGTTTTAATTTGTCTGGTTTTAGTGTGTTTGAATTATGTCTGATTTTAATTTGTTTCTTTTATTGTCTGGGTTTGTGTATGTCTGCTTCTACTCTGTCTGTTTTTACTTTGTTTTATGATTCCAGTTCGTCGTGATTTTTCATATTCGGAGTTAAAAATGAACTTAGTGTGTTACGTTTAAATTTGCTTTATTGCGTCTGGTTGTTCATTGTGTTTGGTTTCATTGTTTGGTTTTGTTATGCCTAGTTTTGTTACATCTGGTTTTAGTGTGTTTGGTTTTTATTACCCTGTTTTAGAATGCTTAGTTTTGTCGTGTTTGGTTTCGTTGTGTTTGGTTTTATTGTGTAAGTAACGTTATGTTTACCTTTTGTCTGTCAAGTTTTGATATGTATGGTTTTATTGCGCATAGTTTTTAATGTCAGTGGTTTTGACGAATCGGGTTTTCAATGTTTCTTTTTCTTGAGGATTCTGGTTTAGATGTATCCAGATTTAATTGTGATTTTTTTTGCAGTAAGGTTTAAAATTTGGTTTTGTTGGGTTTAATTTTGTTAATTTGGTTGAGTGTTTTATTGTGTTTGGGTTTATTACGTTTTGTTTAATAGATGTTTTGAATATATTTTATCGACTTGAGTTTTTAATTTATTTTGGGCAGGTGATATTGTCATAATGTTAGCTGTAGTTTTATTGGTTCTGGTGTTCTTAGGTTTTGTTATGTTTGTTGGTTTTTTTCGTGTTGTTGTGTTTGGTTAGTTTTTTTTTCGTATTTTGTTTTATCATGGTTTTTTTTTATCCAGTTCTGGCTGTTTTAATTTTGTTTTCTGGTTTTATTTAGCTATTTGTTGGGTTTACGATTGTTGTATCTTGGGTTTTAATGTCAGATTTTGTTATATAATATTTGCTAGTTGTTTTTCTTTGGTTTTGTCAAGTTTTGTATTTCTGTGACTGGTTTTGTTGTGTCTGGTTTTGTTGTGAATGGTTTGTTTTTCTTATGGTTGTGGCTGGTTTCGTGATTTAAATTTGTTGTTTGGTTTTTAATTCAAAATTTAGTATATGTGGTCTTGTTGTGTGTGTGTGTGTGATATGGTCTTGTTATGTTGGTTTTTGTTCGGTTTGGTTTTAATATGTACGGCTTGGTTTTGTCGTGGGTGTTACTGTGTGTTACTATGTCTGGTGTTCTTGTGGTGTTTTCAAAGTGTCATGTTTCAATTGTGGTTGGATTTGTTGTCATCTTTTAAGTGTCTCTGTTGTAGTTGTCTTAATTTTTTGTGTTTTTTGTGGTTGTTTCTCGCGTAGTTTAATTGTATCTGGTTTTACTGTAATCGGTTTTGTTTTTTATTATTGTTTTGTTTTTTGGCTTTGTTTGTAACTCTTAGTGTTTGATTTGGCTCATGTCTGGTTTTGTTGAATATTATTATTATTTTTTTTTACGGGCATTAGACCACCAGGGCACAGGTCAATGACCCACATCAGGGCCTGGGGGCAAATATATAATAATAATAAAATAATAATAAATAATAATAATAATAATAATAATAATGATAATGATAATAATAATAATAGTAATAATAATAATAATAATAATAATAATAATAATAATAATAATAATAATAATAATTAATAAAAAATATTAAAAATTAATAAAAATTATAAAAATATTAAATAAAAATATTATACGGTACACTGTACAATAATAATTATAATAATAATAATAATAATAATAATAATAATAATAATAATAATAATAATAATAATAATTAATAAAAAATAAAAAATAAGAACAATTAATAAAAATTATAAAATTATAAAAAATATTGAATAAAAATATAATACAGTACTGTATAATAATAATAATAATAATAATAATAATAATAATAATAAATGACCATGAATAAATAAAAAATAAGATAAATTGCGAAAACAATATATGTTTGTTGTGTTGTCAAAGTAAGAGAAAGAATTGAGACCCTGCAATTGTGTGTTAAGTAGATATCCTGGGACTTTGTCACAATTTTTGTGATGGTTTTATTTGTTTTGTGTTGGCTTGTTTGGTATTGCAGTTATATATATATATATATATATATATATATATATATATATATATATATATATATATATATATATATATATTATATAATAATAATAATAATAATAATGAGTCAGGTATTAATGCGTTTGCTTGTTATTGTATGGTATTGATCGTGTCTAGTTTTGCTGTGTTTAGTATTCCTTTTGTTTTGTCTTGTGTTGTTGTTTAAAATCAAGTTTTGTTGTATTTATCCTAGTTTACTTTATCCATCTTTAATAATGCTTAATTCTGTTGCCATGTTTTATTGTGGGTTTAATTTCATAGTATGAAGTTTTTTATGTTTTATTGTATATTATTTTGTTGTAAATATATTTTTTTCGTTGTTTCTCAGCTTTATTGAGTCTTCTTTTATTGGTTCTCGGTTTATTGTGTCTTACTCTTGGCCGAAGAGGGTATTTTCATTACCCTTGCTGTTGTATGCTGTTATACACACCTTTTGAGTTCTCGGAACGGAATTTGGTTTTCTCAAGCACTAGTGAACTTCAAAAGTACCTTGGCTCTAGATCTATAGTCTGTTCACTCGAAGCATGCAACTGAGGCTTAGGACAGTTTGTACCAAGGCAGTTGATTGGTTGGCGAGCGGAAAGGAGAAAAGGCATTCAGTATCTAATCTATCGTATTTATATTCTGATATTTTAAGATATAATGACTATTTTATGTTGATTTCTGATAATTTCCGTAGTTGGAAAAGAAGGAATTAACATTTCGCGCATCCGTTCGCCAACCAATCTTCTGCCTTGCTACAAACTGACCCTAAGCCTCAGTTTCAAGCTTCCAGTGAGGAAACTATAGAAAGTTTCTTATTGATTCTGAGGTCAATGAGCTAGTAGCCCATGGTTTATTTAGTTCTGCTAATGATATTTATATTTTTTTTGAGGAGGAAAGGGAAGGTAAGTGGATTAGTCATGCACAGATCAATTCAGTGTTGCATGGCTATTTTGACCCCAGTGGGAGAAAGTTTTGCTCCCGCTTTTGGCGTTACTGAATCATAGGTCAAGGTCATTATAGGTCATTACTGCAAGGGATGATTTTAATATTTAGGGCCGTAACTTACTGAGTCTTCGGATATCGATAGACATGATATATGCATTTTAGGGGCAGGAAGGTCGCTTTCGATTTAGGGGTCAGTGTGGAATTGATGTTAAGGTCATTGTTTTGTTGCCGTCTAAAGAGGTCTTCGCGTA